TGACAGAGTGGTTAAACATTGGAACAGGCTGCCCGGGGAAGTGGTTGAGTCACCATCCCTGGAGGTATTTAAAAGACGTGTAGATGAGGTGCTTAGGGCCATGGTTTAGTGGGCATGGTGGTGTTGGATCGACGGTTGGACTCGATGTTAGAGGTCTTTTCCAACCTTAATGATTCTATGATTCTATAGTATGCTGTCAACAGTTAGGTTTATAAATTCACATTTAAAATAATTTCAAATGACTAAGCAACTCTCAATAACATTAGAAATGTGATACAGTAATGTGCTGGGCCAAAACCAGGACATGTAATTTTAATCAGAAATAGATCACCAAAACATTTAGAAGGCTGAATAAGGTAATGACACAAATTACAAAATAACTGCTTAATCAAAATTTGGTTAAAAATTTTGCCACTGGTGATCAAAAGCATGGACAAATAAGTTTCCTAATGTAGTCACTAAACCTTACTAGTCACTCAGTATACAAGGGCAATCCAAAGAGAAAGCATTGAGTAACAGCTGATTATATACATTAACATTAAGGAAAGACTTTTATACGAACATTTGAAATAACCAGGGTCAATTACATTTTGAAGAGGTACATAACAGTACTGCAAAAGTAAATAAATGGTCTGTTTTAAAAAAGAGGTATATCAGAAAAAGTTGTGCTGCTCCAGTTATGATGCAGGAATGAAGAACAATTCAACACATTTATAAACAGCGTAAAGTTATGAAAACGATAAAGCAGCAATTCACACATTGAAGTTTTTCAGACAGTGCTAGTGCAGAATGAGCTGAAGGGGACTCAATATTTGACAATTACTACCTAACAAGGTCATCTACACACAAGAAGCAGAAATGTTTACAGATCATGTTAATTCTCCCACTTCAAGGGCCCAGTATGAAACTTCCCTGATGTGCACAGAGTTCTCTAATTGCGAGACAAATACCAAAAGATTCTTATATTGGCCACTTAATAATTGATCACTTATAACTGAGACAGAACATCAGGCTACACAGACCACTAGCTTGATCAATTATGACAAATTTAAGCTTTAGCACATTCTACTGGTCTGCCAAACAACAGTTTAAGTTTAAAATCAGGCAAAACCTGTGTTCTTTCCAGGTCAGGAGTATAGGGCATGAAAATTAAGGTCAAGAATACGTCAAAGAAAACACTGTGCCACACAGACCCACACAGCCTTAACTTCTTGTATCTTTTCCGAGCACTTCGTATGCAAATACGTGTTTTGACATTACATACAGAATCTGTTACAGCGTTCACTTATGTCGTTATGAACTGTATGGTTTATCTCCTGTTAAAATGGGTTTTAATAAGAGTAATGATTTTATAACAAGTTATGCAATTATTTGATAGACCATCCCAAATGGTTAAAACATGATTTACCATTCAGACTCAGGAGGCTTATGAGGTCTCATTAGTTAAAACTAGTTGCAAAATACTGATCCTGAACAGTGACCATCAAAAAAACATTCTCACTATTCTTTTAATTAAACATTATAAATGAAAACACTGTTAAATGAAAACTTTAATATGCAAAACTTAATATTTTTAATAATTCAAAATAAGATCAACAGTATGTGTAGCAAAATACAAGGAACAGGGTGACAGAAAACAAATATGTGGAACAAGAATGCACTACTGGCGTATATGGAAGAGAAAGTGTCCCCTCTCCCCACTCCTTTCCCTCCAAAAATACATACCTGCTGAATGTGTCTACTAGCTCGTTTCTGAGGTTGGTAGATAAGCCAAGTATACAGGACCGGATCGACATTAATTGCTAATCCTTGTACACTGGACAAGAGTACTGCACCTATACCCCATAGAAAATAAAATAAAATAAAATGTAATTTGCTAAAGAATCTCCATATATGTATTCATTTTTCTTGCACACAAATCATCTTTGATGCAGACTTTTGTTTGGATTGGACTTACATATATATTTATTTTAAATTCCAATCAAGAGTAATAATTAAAACAAACTTCAATAACTTCATGAAAGTGAGAAACTTGCCAGTACTGCCAGTGTTATGGTCACACACACACAAAAAAAAGCAGAGAATTGCATTTTGATTTTGCTTATTACAATTTTTTGCAAAGAAAAATGCTTGTTTTCAGAAAGTTGTGTAACTGAATACACACAACACCTTTCCTCAGATTCTCAGCCAACAATAACGTTATGCAAGAAATGAGTCAATGAGATGACCCTTGACAGAAAGAGAAGAATATAATGCAGGACTCCCCCCAGCTTCAATAAAGAAAAACTTGGTCTAGGACAGTGGGTTCTTCTAATAAAGACAGGTTTACTTTAGGTTAGTGTTCTGCCCAAAGCCGCTCAGGACAAACATTTTTCATGTAAATGTGGTCACGAATATTCTTTAGTGGACTAGTTAGGTAAAATAAGGCAAATTTTTGAACTCTGCTAACATTGGCAGTCTCGGTACTGCGAGCTCTTAGGATTTTATCCTAAGTTTTACAATATATCTTATTTTCTTTAAATCTCACTTTTGAAGTCCTAGGATTATGAGACAGGGCTACTATATCTTCATTTCTTACAGGTAAACTTCTAGTTTTCTTATGCTTGTGAAGAAAAACTTACATGGGAAACATTAAGGCTCAAAATAGGAGAAAAACTATTCTCAGTATCCAGAAATCTTAGCATATCCTTCAAGCCAAGCACACCAAAGCCAAATTTATGAAGCACTATTTCCGTTAAACCTGCATTAAAAATCTGATGATTATTAGTCAGGCTTTTGTTTTAACAGTACAGATAAAGTATCTATTGCAGCAGAACTTAATTACAGAGCTGTAAAATTCAGAAGCAAATGGATTAATGTAATACAAAGGTATTGATTATATTGAAAAAGTGTGGCAAGTAGTAATAGGCAGTTATCTTCTCACTTAAGTTTTGCAATTTTACAACAAATAAATAAATGAAATAATGAAATAAATGATGAAATAAATTCAAAACAGAAATCCTGGTTACTGGAAGGTCCCAGCACCAAGTTCTAGAGAATTACAGTAGTACTATAATTCAAAGAATCATAGTTTCTACAGCAATATATACTATATTTACTCTGAAGTACACAATATAATTATGCAGCAATCTGAATTTAATAATAAATTGAAATAAATTCAGAAAGCTTGTCACACAATTCAATGTACTTTCCAAAAACCAGCAAAAACATACGCCTCAAAACACATAATATATCACCAAAATAACAGGACGGGAGGGGGGGGGAAGATAAGTTATGAGTTTATTGTGTGTAACAAAATTTTAAAACCAGCTGAATTCCAAATGGCAGAAGACGCACCAACCTGGGGCAACGCAAACAAAGCCTGATGAGTACAATGGGAAAATGGCAGTCAAGAAATACACAAAGATAAATCATCCGCCTAGCACAGGCTTGGAGCTGGAACACACACTGTGAGGAACTCCTATACACAGACTAGTCTATGTGATCTGATGGCTTTAAATGTCAGTAATAAACCTTAGAAATAAATCTGCAATTTAAGGCAAAGCCGATGTCAAGCATAAAGTAAAGGGGTAACGTGCAAGTAAGAAGAGCAGTGAATATGCCTTGCGGTAGGATCTGGAGGAGACTAGAAAAAGGAAGGAAAAGGTAACAGAGGACTGGTAAAGTATACACGACGATCATTAGCTTTTATAAGATACTTGGATGCCAAAATAAGAGAATCCTGCATCTTTAACAGATACTGCCTGTTGTCAGCAACACTTAATGAAAGGTTTAATGTATATGTGATGTGACAAGTGGGAGTCAGAGACCTCCCAAAGAGTGAGGAATACAGTCAGCCTACAGGCAAAGTCAACAAAAAAATCCCACATTTGTAACAGACTCCTGAAAAGAAAAAAAAGAAAAAAAATAGTGTTACTGTAGCACATGATGCTAGTTACTCAATTTAGTTTCTTGTTTACTGCAAAAAATCAGCTAAAACTAAGAAGTTCAATACAATTAAGTCATGCTTTGAACTGAAACTATCTTTTCACTTCAGTGAAGTCACACTGGCACAATCCCATAAAACTCTAAAGTAAGGTAGAACAGAGAGCAATATAGTTTCTTTTTCCAGTTGCCTTTTGTTGTTGATAGCTTATGTCTGGGAGAAAAAAACAACAAAAAAACCCAGTACAAGTAGTCAGATAAGCAATTACATTATTTGCCTTTCAGTTTGACTGTCAGGTAACTTTGGCCTCCTATCAAGCCACTTCTGTCACATTGAATTACTGAAATTTACTGCCATATTTGCTACTCATACTATATTCAAAGAGCAGTTTAATCACCTATGTAAAGTTGTTTTCTGTGTAACAGCTTTCTTCAATATAAATAAGTAGTAGACAAAGAAAAGTTTCTCAGATTTGCCCCCTCCCCCAAAAAAAACCCCACTGTTAAATTTGTGTTTTCATGCCAAGAAATAAGAATTCCCCCCAGTTTTCAAGGAAGATCTCACTGATGTGAGGACCAAGCTGTAAGTTGGCAGCAGACTCCTTACATGGCTAAAAAAAAATTAATTGCTATTTTGTCTCTGTCAAAATTGAATGCTTGAGTTTCCTGGATTTCATTAAGATTGTGGTGAACTTTCTTTTCTCCCCTCCCCTTTTCTCCTTTTAATTAAATTTACATTTCAGAAAAAACAGACCTTAGTCCCATACCATACTAGGTTTCCTTTCCAGATCCCAGTTCTTGCCAGAGCTATGTATTACATCTATCTAGTAAATTACTTGAAAAGTAAGAATCGAACCCAACACCACATAATCTTTGAACGTTTGAGAATTTCCTCAAAGTCACGGTGTCATTTGCCAGGCACAGTTTGGGTAAATAATTTCTTTCCTCCCCAACTTTCGTGTCTCTCCTAAAGGAACGAACCGCGGGGAGGCTGCAGGCAGGCAGCAGAGGAGGACGAACAGGAGGCAGCAGAGCACAGCTGCGCTTGGCACTCTCATCCTGCGGACAAGCTTCTTGACAAGCTTCCTTGGACGGTGACAGCTGCAGCAACAGCACTCGTCTTCCCAAGGGACCGTGGGGCCTGCAGAGGATAACCTGGGGCCTCCTGCGCTGGGCTTGGCTCTGCTGCCACCTCCTCCCACCTTGAGTGCTGCGCAAAGGCTGCTGGAGGAGCAGGGAGGCGAGGCGTCACTAGGCGGGGGCTCTAGCCCTACCCTCTCCTTCAAAAGCGAAATTCAAGCATATAGTAAGTGGGACAAAAAGGGAATATGGTACATTTCTGGTGAGGCGGAAGAGGATACCTGGGGGATGCAGCTGCAGAGAAAAGAGGCCAGAGGTAAAGGCAGGATAGGTGAAACAGGGCAGAGTGGAGCAGCAGAGTGGTGGTGGTCGTGCTGAGGGATGCTCAGCCGTGATGAAAGAACAGGAAAGGGCTTCAAATATCAGAGAGGGAAAAAAAAAGGATGAAGGCAGCAGGATGGTGAAAGAGGAATGCAGAGGTGAATGAGTGCTTTGGGAAGGAGAAGGGAGGTGGCAATACTTGGCAAAAACGGCTGTCGTTTTGGAGAAAGAGCCTTGTGAAAGAGTAAACTGCATTACTGAGTCACTCCCAACATTTTGGTGAAAAAGATTGACTAGGAAGAGTAGACAATAATAGTTCAGTCATAAATTTACTTATCGAAACTCAACATTTAACACAACAACAACAATATACTATGATGCACTAGACATTGAGAAGCAGCCTTGCTACGTATGTGGAGAAAAATGTATTTTATCTCTGCAACAATAAAGGATCACCCTGGCAGAATTCTTTCTAAATTCTGCTCTGTGTGTATGCAGTATCTAAACACATCTATATTGCTATTTCCAGTAAAAACTTTCAGTAAAACATTTTAGATATTCCCCAATAAAATGAAGTGAAAAACCTCTACAGGAAACTGAAGTTTAAGTTATAGTTAATGTACACTTTCTATCGGGGAGGGATCACAAATATGAACAACGGGAATTATCTACAATAAAAACTAATTCTGACAAGTTTTGTTTATTTTTAGTAACTAAGTAACTAATGAAAACATTACACCATCTTGCTATATAAACTGCACCATGAATTATTTTAGCATTGAGCTCATGACTCCTAGATGTCTCAGGACACATGAATGATAAGCAGGTGCTGACACAGGTTGAGTTAGCATCGTTAGTTTAGTGTCCAATTATTTTAAAGGACAACAGAAAGAAGAAATAATCTTCTTACTTATTATCTTACTCTTTTGAAGGGCATTTCCACTAAGGCATATTATAAAAATGCAGATCTGCATATTACACCCAAATGAAGAGTTCTTTTTTATAAAAGTATATAGGTAATTCGTTCTTTCTGCTAGTTGCCTCATAACGGATGCACTGGAAATCACTAAACGTGGAAATATCTCTTTAATTTTAGCCTGGGAGTCAACTAAGGGAAAAAGAGTGCTCTTTACTACTCTGCTTACTGCCAAAATGGCTCACTTATCCACATTCCAAACCAGGCTTTACCAATTAGCTATCCTATGGTACCACAGCCATTTTCAGTCACATCCCAAGCTGAAGAATGAGAGCTGAAGTAGGAGTTAGAGATTGCAGTTACACAGCATAAAAATTAAACATGCAACCTTTTTGTCCACTTTGGAATATCAACAACAAGCCAATATGATTGTCTTGCAAAATAATCAGCTTATCTAAGAGACAGAGTCCTGCATTTCATCCTGAATTGCCAAGTCAGACAAGGGAAACAGATATTTCAAGCCACATCAAAGTTAATGTGATTGTGAAAAATTATTTTTACATTATACCAGCTACAATAAGTTAATAAATTTTG